CTTACCGAGTAGTTTTCTCACTGTGGCCAAGTTGTTGGTGACCCCGGTCGCTGTCTTGTTGTGAACGATGCAATAGCCTTGTTCGTGTGTGCCCGATCGGCCGCAAGTTTTTCAGCCAGAACATCGAGGTTAGCACCTTGACCCCACTTGCTTTCGGCGATGTTGATGTCGAACTTGAGACGTTGCTGCTGATCGATCCGCAGAAGACTGAACTGTGTCCGATAAGGAACGACACGATCAGGTCTCCGGGGTGACAATGTATTCGTTAGTGCACTCTCCCAGGCACCGGCTCCTAAATACGGACATGGAAATTAATCCGAAATCTTAATAAGATCATACAATCTTCCGTAATCTAGCATGTTTCAAGTTCTATAAAACTCGTACACATAGTTGAAACCAATGAACACCTGTAGTTGGGATCAAGAAAGGAGTTCCGGTATTAGTCTCGAAGATCTTCTTGTCATTGCCGGAAAGGCGGGGGAACGGTAGTCCTCATTGTTCTGGTTCACGGCTCGAATAACAGGTTCCGGGATGTTAACGGGACCCGGAACAAATAGGTGGTTCTTCCCTGGTCCGTACACATAGTCCATCTTGTTCGTGCGGGGGAAATGACGCTGATAACTTGAGCTACTGATTCCTAATTGTTACAATGAAACATGTAAATAATGAATTTAAAAACTAAAAAAAATAATAAAGCATTTGACATTTTCTAATCCCTATATATATATATATATATATATATATATATATATGCATATCAAATAAATAATTATTCGATTTTGATTTATTCATAAATCAACTCATCGTGAATGTACATAATTAAAAAAATAAAACAGAACAATTGAATTATACAAATACATAAATAATACAAGTCACGGATACATGTTGAACTAACCTATTTTACGTTAAACTACAAATAACTTTATACACATTTGTATTTTTATTATCGAATTTTTTAAATTAAACTTTTATTTCTCAATATTTTATTTTGCTTTATGTATGGTAAACAAATTCTTAACTTGGTCTTTAAAATCGAGAAAAGAATAATGACGACGACTGTGATACCCACAGAACATACGACATGGTTGAGCTCGTATAGACACTATTAAGAAAATTTATGAAATGGCATACCTACTTTTAGAGAATATTTGAAACGAAATATACTTATTTTATTCATTTTGTAAGGAGAAAATAATAATACACTCAATGCTAAGCTTCAATATCATCTTGAATGGATCTCAGAAGCAAATTTAAGCTTTGTATTATTATTGCTAACAGAATTTGCATCCTTTTAAAACCAAAAATACATAGCTAATAATGTACACTTTCTGCCATGGCAAACGTATCTCATCCATGTATTTTCCGAATTGAATCGAGATTTGTGTTTCTTTTTCAGTTATTCCTGTGGCTGTGCCATATATACGTAAACAAAAACACCGGACTTGCTTCGACAAACATAAACGTCGGGGGGAAACGGTTGCAAAGTCGCTGCACTGCACCTATAGAAAGCACCACAAAAAAGGCATAAAATTACTCTTTCGAATCAAAACAAATTAAATTGAGCTCTTTTCACATTCACACAATTTACACTAATAAATGCATTTATGCATATGCATGTAACACGTTCATGGAAGTTAAGGGAATAACCATCTTCTTCTTAGCTCGCTCCAGGATGTCTTCCACAACACTTTTGCTTGTCACAAATCTGTAAATGTTGACAACTTCGTATTGCCCGATTCTGTGAGCTCTACTCATTGCCTGAAGCAAAATAAAACAATGTGCATAAATAAAATACTAAAATTTTCATAGGAAACTTAGAAATATGATGCAGGGAAAAACAATGCCAAGCTTGACACCTGTAAGTCATTCTGGGGATTCCAGTCAGAATCAAATATTAGTACTGTGTCTGCAGTTGCAAGGTTGATACCCAGGGTCCCAGGCCACCAGGAGCCAGCCCGAGTAGAAAGAAGGAAGCAAAAATCATCACTTCCAGGTGCATTAAAATGATCCATAGCCTGCTGTCGCAACTCTGCCTTTGTACTACCAGCTAGTCTCTGGAATTGGAATCCTCTGAGAAACATGTATTCGGATAATATATCCAGCATTCTAACCATCTGCAATTTATATCATTTTATCAGAACATGAACATGTAAAAAACACCAGATTCCATAACTTAATCAGCCATATCCTCCATTAAAAACAAAAACTTCACATAGATCCTAAAATCCAAAGACAACTGTCAAATTCACCCCAACACGTACATGATGAGAATAAAAATATTGAAGCAGACATGGGGCTCAGAATTATGTATAAGCATCCAATACAAACCTGGGAGAAGATTAAAACACGATGCTTTGTTTCACGCAACCTCACAAGCAACTTGTCAAGTATAACTAGCTTCCCACTGCTTAATATAATTCTCTCCGGTTTACTAATATCATTCAAGACAGAGTCCCCACCATAACCGTGATCAGCACTTTCAAACAGGAAAGGATGATTGCAGCATTTCTTCAGCTCTACTACTATATTTAAAAGTGATACCTGCGATTTGAAAGAAAATACCTCATCCTAATATAATTTGTCCATATACAACATACTTTTATCAGTAATAAATTGACCCTTTTAATATAATTTGTATCAGCCCTTGAATGTCCGATTTTATATGTCATCTATTGACCCTTTTAATAGATATCTCAATTCTGAAATAAGTTTGAAATCGGAATCTATCTAAAGTTCTGCATTTCTCTTTCTTATAAATATTAAGTATTATGAGAAATAAATTGAGCCCTCTAGTGTGTTCCTATTGGTGTTACAGTACCGTTTTAAACTATCTTTCTGAATTGTGTTTAAAATTTTGATGATGTTGAATATTTAGATTGCATGATATCTGTTTACTGCATGCTTTGACTTATGATATCTGATTTTTGTATATTTTCGAAATGATCTATAATTACCGTATTTATGTATTTGATTATGGAATCTGGCATGATCTAATGCTTTGTAAACTAAACTATTGTTTTCACTATCATTGGGGGTATGATTGGAGGAAGTATCTCAGACTACTAAGACCTTACCGTAGACACGTCTGCTTTGTGCTTAGGCTATGATTTTAATGTAGGTCATTATGCTATCAATATAAGGTTCTTATGGGCGAACATGTGGGTGTATGGTTCATGGGAACCTACACATTTCTAGCGTCTAGATTGAGGGCAGTCAGTTGATTTTGTTTAATTAAAATTTACCGTTTTTGTAAAAGAATGTTTTACTTAAATAAATTATGTGTACTTTTTCTGTACTAATGAGACACACTAAACTCATCAAATCAGTCTCTGAAATATTTTTTTGTTTGACATCTTTCTATATAGATACTTCTCGAAAGTCATTCTAAGGATGGATTAATAAATTTTAACTATTCTCTAAAACCTATAGATATCAGCATCATAAAGAACTTTCATGTATTACTTATATTTGCTTGTCCTTTGGCATCATTTGGTAGTTTGAATTACCAAGTTTTCCAAAACTCATTATGTCACTTACCATTTTAGGTTAAAAGAAATAAGTTTGTGCTTTTATCGACATCAGTCGAGTGTTTTTATGGCGTTGCTTGTGGAGTACGACACATGTAATTTGAGGCATGTAGGTTACAATTATTTTCATATCAGTATGAAACTTGTTTTTACACTATATATTACCATTATTTTTTAATGTCTAAACTTATTTATATACATTAAGATTAATTTACGATTTCAAAAATTTGATTTGTTAAAGTTTTATTTTTCTTGGATTTTCAAAGTCGGTTGTTTCTGTGATTCTAATATGAGATCGCAGATCGGATTGGGTCCTTCATACCGATATGAAGAAGTTACATTTTTTTTTATAAAAATAAATTAAATATTTTTATTAAATAATTATCGCATTTAAATTATTAATTTACGAAAAGAGATAGATATTTATGAAAATGTTAATATATTAGAATATTAATTATATTTAATGTCTGCATGATTATTAATGATTGAAATATAGTTATAATATTTTATTTATTAATGTTTGTGGTGTTGGCAATTGTTCTAGAAGTTCACATTTACAAAGAAGTATTTTCAAAATTCAAATTACCAAATGGTTTAAAATTTCCCGACCCGCTCTCGACTCTCGTACCACATCCCCGCCGCCAAACAAGCCCTACCCTCTCTTCCCTTCAAGTTTCACCGGAGCAGCAAATTAGATAAGGTAAAATTTTGAAACCCCAAGCTAAACTTAGAGATTAATTTCTACTTGAATCACGGGATTTTTTATTATCTGCTATCTGTTTTATTTCATGTTATGTTTCGGATCTTACCTCCTATTACCGTTTCATCTCATACTCTCTGTGTAGATTTCGTTGAGAAGGATGACTTTGATTTTAAACCTTCCGGTTTAGCGGAATTAGGGGATCGTAACCACCGTGATCCGCTGCCATCTATGTAAAATCTGTTAATCTTTAGCGCGACAGCGCTACACATTCGCTATTTTGAAACTCAATTTAAAATTATAATAGTGAAGGCTGATGGGGATTTTCTTCATTTATCGCCCCAATGTGGTCTTTCTTTTTTATGGCAATGAACAGAAAACATGGATTTCATCTAGCGAAGCTTTGACTGTCTGGTCTTATGTCTCTTTGGTTGTTGATAAAATTTAACAAATAGAAATGAGTGGCAAATGAAAATGGAATCTTGCTGATTTTGTTGTAGTTTCAATGATGGTTAAAATTTGAGTAGTTCTGATGTGAATTTATAATTTCTATAGAGGGAAGTTCTCTCACATGGGTCTTGGTTTTGCAGGAGAAGATGAAAGTCAAGCTGCTACGTATCCTTGTTGTTTTACCGCTTGAAAAAACTTCCTTCTGTCAAATATTTTCTTACTTGAACCTGTTGCAACTTGGATGTTATGTTTACATTGGTTTGGATTATTCGTGAAATCCTGTGACAAACTCTAAGGTCGTCAATGCCATTGCCAAATCCTGTGACAAACTCTTTCTTGTTAAGTGTTAACCTTGATTAAATGATTTATTTCAAGTGTTGGATACAGCTATGTGTCCAACATGTCTATGTTCAATTTTTTGCAAGTTTGTTTGTTCTTTTTTTTAATATGTAGTTGGAGGATCCTTGGAGTGTCGTATCTTTATACTCATGTTGAGAAATGTGTCAAATATGGTACTTCAAGAAAACTGAAGAGTCAGAGTGGGCCATGGGGTTTATTTTTTTCTGGAATATATTTGATTTATGGCAAAAAAACATTTGTTATGTTCGTCTTAAACCTTTAAGAATCTTGTCTATCATGCATGGGGAAGTAAGTAATGCTTTTGCCTTGATTGATATCATGTGGGTTAAATGGTACAAAGCTATGTCACTCAGACTCCGGTGCAAGTGTTGGTCTTGTATATGTCCTACATGGTTATGCTCATTTTTTCATGTATTTAGAGGGTCATATTCCCACATCCATGTTGGACACGAGTATTTCAAGCAAAATAAAGAGTCGGACTTGCTTGTGTTCAAATCTGACATTTGTTTTCTATTAGAAGAAACAGTTTTCTCTTGACCTATTTCTCTTTGTATATCTCTTGTCTATAAACAGAGTAAGCTCTTTTTACTACTTACATCCCAATTTAATTACTAAAAAAATGTGTTTTTTGTTGGATTTTCCATGTTTTTCAATGATGGAAAACTCTTAACTATTGTCTTTTTGATGACAGATGGCATGCTGTTGCTTCTTGGACTTGGGATGCTCAAGATGAGACATGTGGAATTTGTAGGATGGCCTTTGATGGTTGCTGTTCTGATTGTAAACTCCCTGGGGATGATTGCCCATTGAGTAAGTCTTTACTTTGTCATATTTGGCTGTACTGTTACGATAGTTTCTCATATTGTTGAGTCATTATTTAGTTCTTTAATGGGTTTTCTATGAGATGCTATGTTTTTTAATAGTTCTTACCTTTTGGTTCTTGAGCACTATGTTACTCTATGTTAGTGTCTCCTATTCCTTTAAGAAAAAAAAAATCTGAGTACAGTTCTACTAAATTTGCTAAATAGCATTCATGTTAAATATATAAAAGTCTAGTTGCTTTTCTTTGAATACTTCATTGATATATAACCTTTTAGGAATTACTAAAATTTTTACGAGATTATAGCACCTTGGTCATCAAGGGCTGTGTTATTTCGATTCTTCATTATGGTTGAAGTATGTGTGTCCAATACTCATATTTGACACGTATGAGTATGAAGATGACCCTTTTTGTTTCTAATGTTGATAGATCAAATATGACACATATTTGTCTCCAATTTTACTTCAACTCTTTATTTATTTATTTTTTGGAAGTATTTGTATTTGACATATACCCAAGGATACAAGTATGGTATGTAACCCACTAAACATTCTCCAAAATACATGAAATTTGAAAAACTTAGGAAAAATAGTCATGTTTTGCTACTTGATATTATCTCTACCTCCTCCATTGTTTAATTTCTATCCCACTGGTTTACTTATTTTATTTTATCTGTATGTGTTTGGAGTTCATCACTTCATTACCTTGAACAAGTGTTTTCTTTATATTTACCGTTTCCTGAACGATGATTATTGGTTGTTCAACTGCAGTTTGGGGTGCATGCAACCATGCTTTCCATCTTCATTGCATCCTGAAGTGGGTGAACTCACAGACTTCTCAAGCACATTGTCCGATGTGCCGTCGGGAGTGGCAGTTCAAAGGATGACCACCCAATGCATTCATCGATGCTTATGTTGCTGGTGTACTTAACTCTTCTCTCTTTGATTTACATGTACTCATGGATTTACCAAACCTTTTCGAACATTATTTTAAATAAGGATGACCATTATTTTTTGATTGGATTTTTTCTACCTCGTTTGCCTATATAAGTAATTAGAACCGGTAAAAATAATGTTTTCGGTCATAATAAGATGAAGATTGGGAGGAATGTTACGATATTCGATTTAGGATTAAATTTTGGGTAAATTACAGGTTTAGAATATAAACTATTAGTTTTGATTCGTTTTAGTATCTAAATTTTTAATTTCTTAAAAAACTTCCCTAAAGTAAAATTTTTATTTTATTTTAGTATTCCAATATTAAAAACATTAATTTTTGTTTCGTTTCCATATTCCACTCGGAGACCAAAACCAAACCTTTTCCCAAGGTTAAAAACAAAGTTTTGATAATGTTACGAATTTTATTAAATTAATGAATGTACAAGACAAAAAGCCAAGTAGAAAAAGAAAAGACTCAGTTTTAGATGAAATTCCATATTCCACTCGGAGACCAAAACCAAACCTTTTCCTTTACTTTTTCAGAACTCTGAGCTTAGAGCTTTTAATCTGGATTCTGAAACCCCAATTTTGATTCTCACATAAAGAACTCAGAAAGTTGATCAACTGCAGAACCCAATAAGGGTTTGGCCCAGCTCTCTTCTTTATTTACTTTGCTGTTGTACTTTTCCGATGAATTCTGGCTACTTTTGAGTTCGTGGAAATCTGAAATTTGCATAAAAAAGCTTGGAGCTTTTTGTTTTAACGATGTCGCTCTCGCCTAACTTAGGGTCACCTTATCCATGGCTTAGAGAGCTGAAATCTGAAGAGAGGGGTTTGTATTTGATCCATTTGTTGCTCACTTGTGCTAATCATGTGGCCAATGGTAGCCTCGAGAATGCGACATCGCTCTCGAGCAAATATCCCAACATGCTTCTTCGGTGGGCGATACGATGCAGCGAATCGCGGCGCACTTCACTGAGGAGCTTGCCGGTCGAATCCTTAAAACCTGGCCCGGTCTCCACCAGGCCTTTAATTCCACTAGTGTGACTTTGGTTTTGGAACAAGTACTCATTCGAAGGCTGTTTCTTGAGATGTTCCCCTTTGTGAAGGTGTCCTTTGTTCTTACTAACCAATCTATAATCGAATCGATGGAAGGCGAGAAGACGGTTCATGTGATTGATCCCAATGCAGCTGAGCCTGTGCAGTGGATCGCGCTTATTCAAGCTTTGAGTGCTAGGCCTGAAGGGCCGCAGCATTTGAGGATCACGGGGATCCATCAACAGAAAGATGTTTTGGATCAAATGGCTCATAGATTGACCGAAGAAGCTGAGAAATTGGATATCCCGTTTCAGTTTAATCCCATCGTTAGCAAACTAGAGGATCTCGACATCGATACATTGCGTGTTAAAACCGGGGAGGCTCTGGCAATCAGCTCTGTTATCCAACTGCATTCCCTTTTGGCTTCAGACGATGAACTCGTCCGGAAGAAGTGGACGTTAGCATCGAAGAACATGAACAGAACTCACATGCAAAGAGCACTCCAAATGCACCAGAGCACCCTAGGAGAATTGCTCGAGAAAGATACGGTTAATGCGTATAGTCCTAGTCCTGATTCCGCCTCATCGTCACCGCTACCTTCAATGGCTTTGGCAAAGGTAGACGGCTTTCTTAATGCATTGTGGGGTTTGTGTCCTAAACTCATGGTCATAACGGAACAAGATTCTAATCACAACGGATCGACTCTGATGGAAAGGCTATTGGAATTTGGAATCTCTTTATTCGTACGCAGCCTTGTTCGATTGTCTGGAGTCGACAGTCTCCAGAGCGTCCTCGGAGAGACTTAAACTCGAAAAGATGCTTTTTGGGGATGAAATAAAGAGCATAATATCATGCGAGGGAGCCGAGAGGAAGGAGAGACACAAAAAGCTGGAGAAGTTGATTCCAAGGCTCGATTTGGCTGGCTTCCGAAACGTTCCTTTAAGCTACTACGGGATGTTGAAGGCGAGGAGATTGCTGCAAGGCTATAACTGTGGTGGGTATAAAATGAAGTAAGTGAACGGATGCGTCGTGAATTGCTGGCAAGATCTACCGCTGTTCTCGGTATCAGCTTGGACATGTTGGAAGTAGTAAAATGAAAACGTGTAGAATTTCCTTACATATGAGATTTCATTCCCAGCTTATCAATTGATTTTAGATTGCATGCTTAACGACAGCTCGACCCAGCTCTTCTAGATCAGTTAAACCACTTGTGCAGTATTCACCCGTAAGACCCGTAAATTTTATGATTTTAGAGATCTATTTATATTACTCATAAGTAATATAGTGTTATTGTAAAATAGGTTCGAAAACTGTAGCAGAGCGTGGTGAAACCAGCAATCAGTAGATTTGCTATTTGAACCTATTGTCGAGGTGTGTTCCCTACTTATTACTGAACTGTTTTATTGGTTTTAATATGTGGTACACCGAATTCATTGGTTATTGTTTTATAGATGCACCAATTTAATGTGACAATTTATGAAATATGGTTGCTATCTAATTTTTGTTTTGAAATGGTATATGATTACCATGTTTTTGGATTTATGGAATTTATGTCACGGTGCAATTGAATTTTGGAATTGAATTACGATGGAATAGCTCTGATCAAGCTAAATAGGCCTAATGTAACTCTTGAGGGCCCCAAGATGTTTCATTAGGTCGGCTTTCCTTTGCTGTGTGCTTAGGGTAAGCTATATAGACTTATTGACTTGGGCTTAAGGATACAAGCTTCATAGCCTATCCTTAAGTCGGCTTTCTTTTTGCTATGTGCATAAAGTAAGCTATATGGAAAATAATTTTGGGAACTACTGATGGTGTACCAGAAAAGGGTTTAAACTATGATTTTCAAAAGTTAAACTCTTTTACGAATTTGTGAGATTTACTGGACTATGATTTGTACATATTGTGATTTTATGGAAATGTTGGGACACACTGAGCCTAGCTCACCTTTCGAAAATGTTTTCCACCTTTCAGATACTGTTGGTTAGATACCTCGGTTCGAGCACTTGGAGGATCAACATATCTCTTGAAGTAAATCAGATTGTAATGTTTTTATTTTGCAAGTTGACTTTATTTTGGTGACATAGACCTTATTTTAAAATATCGAATTTTATATTGATGGAATAACGGTTTCAGAAAATATCTTTAATAATCATAATGTGATCCACTAGACTTAGTCGAAACGCATAGGCCGGGTCTAGGGGGTTACATTTATTGGTATCAGAGCTTTTGTTTTTTTTACCCTCGGACTGTGTATGAGTCCACATTGAAAATATGGTTTTGAAATATTTTACAAAACGAGTTACTAAGGCCATGTCACAAAGTTATTAAGATTTTAACTATGTTCGAGACTCCAAGTGCTTATCTAACCTTAAGTTTATCTTTTGTAGTAATCTTGAGATCCACCAAAATGAGTGCTAGACGTGGTCGTCGAACTAGTCATGGACGAGGTCGAGTGGCTAGATTTACAGATCCGATTGATGAGATACGAGTAGATCCCCCACCTCCGATAGGTGATCCTGCTCCTACGACCCCAACGAGTATGCCACCTACCGATGGTATTGGCATGACTACACCGATCATAGGAGCGACCGATATGGAGTCAGAGTCTATTGGAGTTGCATTGGATGATAATTTTAGTAGACAGTTTCTGCAGTTAATACAGGGAGCAGTCAGAGCTACTGGTGTTGTATCTGAGGTTCTTATTTCACAGACGTTGATTGCCAATGGAGTTAGAACTTTTGGGGGACAGATTGGTGGAGCTCCTACTGAAGCTGAGGATTGGCTCTAGGATACAGAGAGACGCATGGATCAGTTGGGTTTGGACTCAACTAAGAGATATCTGGGTGCTGTAGCAATGTTAGATGGTAATGCCTACACTTGGTGGGAGTCAGTGACCAGTAGTGTTCCTACCAATCGTTTGACCTGGAATTTCTTTAAGGATCGCTTTCGGAGTCGTTTTCTGGGAGAGCGCTACTTAGCTCAGAGACGACAATAGTTTCAAGACTTGGTTCAGGGAGACATGACTGTTTCTGAGTATGAGATCGAGTTCTTGAAGTTGCTGAAGTATGGATTCAGTATGGTACCTACTGAGAGAGATCGATGTCGTAAATTTGCCCTTGGACTCAGATACGAGCTGCGTAGGCAAGTTGTAACCCATCAGGATGAAATATTTGATGTGCTGGTGGGCAGAGCCAAAGATGCTGAAGAGGTGGAGGTTTTAGCTTCTGGTAGAGAGCGTGTTGATCAGGAACGATCTAAGAAATTTTCAGGCCCGATGGAGTCATCAACACAGTCCGGGAAGAGGACTCGTACTTCAGCCCCTCAGAGAAGCAATACATGTTTCAGGCCTGCAGCATCCTCACCGTTAGTTGGCAGTCGAGGCGGTTCCTCGTCGTATTATAATGGGCCCCTTTGTGAGTATTGTGGTAAACAACACTCAGGAGAGTGTCGTAAGAAGATGGGTCTTTGCTATCAGTGTGGATCTAGTGGTCATTATCGGAGGGATTGTCCTCAGCTAGCTTTGTTTGAGCAGACCACTACCCAAACTCCTGTGCGTTCGCAGACTACAGTACATACCCCAATTAGAGATCGTAATCAAGAAAAGACTCGAGGATCAGCGTCCAGGACAGACAGTAGAGCCCGACCTCAGCAAAATAGAGGGCCAACAGTTTCTGAGGCTAGACAGCCAGCTTTGGTTTATGCAACTAGACGTCGTGATGACAGAGATGAGCCTGAGGTTATTGCAGGTACATTTACTATTTATTCTACCCCATACTTTGCATTATTGGACAATGGCTCCACTTACTCCTATGTATTGAGCTCGGTATCTCGAAACCTTCAGATTCTGATTGAGAACACTGGAAATACTGTTACAGTTACGAGTCCTGTAGGACAAGCGGTATTAGTGAATAAAGTATTTCGGCGTTGTCCTCTTGAGGTTCAGGGAGAAATTTTTCTCGCTAATCTTATGGAGCTTCCTTTAGAAGAGTTCGATCT